CTATTTTGATTTCTATTATTATTGTCATTTTAATTTTATTATCATTATCATTATTATCATTCCATTTTCATTATTATTATACCATTCTATCGTTTATTGTTTTTGTCAAGATTAATTATTATCTGAAGACCAAGTAGCACTTTTTTATTTTTTTGGGAATATTTCTCCATTTTTTCATTACGAACATTTTCTGTGGAGTCTTTTGAATGTTGAAGAGCTTCTACAAGCGCCGTTTTGGCAGTTCATCTGCTAAACATAAACTTGATGTTGCTGCCAAAATCCTCAAAAATCCTTTGTTTTGCGAGACTTTTCGAGCGTGGCCTCCTACAATTCGGTTTCAGCCGTTGCGCCCTTTTCTGGCAGGCGGGCGAGCACAGCCGCAGTCGCAGTCGCAGCCACAGCCGCAGCCAGATCAAAATGTGCCGATATGAGCTCATAAACACGCAGTTTAAAAGGTTCTCTTTTCGCTTTTCAGATCAGCTCGTTGAGCGGTTCGCACGGGCAGCAGCGCTGTTTAATTTCGGCTCTTTCTGATTTATATTATATATATGCACACACATATATGTATATATATATCTGTTTTTTTTAGAGTGTTTGCGTTTGTCTCGCGCTGTCAGCTTCGAGTTTGAGTTTTTGGTGCTTGAGTTTTTATGTGAGTTTTTCTTTTTTGCTTTGGTTTTGGGTGTATATTTTTTTGTTTTTGATATTGAAGCATTGGCGATCAGCTGCCAACGTTCTATGTAATTATTCAATTAGGCGGCAGGCGGTGTAAGCCAAGAAATAAAACATACACACACACAACAGAAAGAAGGAAAACAGTAGCCAGTATTTAGGTCTAATTGAAACTGAATCAAAGCGAAAGCGACAGACAGCGAGACATACATACATACACACAGTACGTATGCAGCATATATATATATATATATTGCTATATAGTATATTGATCTGGCGAAACAGTCACCGGATGCACTTTCAAAATCAAACTACAAGTGCGCCAAGTACTTAAAGCCAAGTGAGAGATTCAACTAGGGGGAGGTCGAGGGGGCAGCCAGCTGACGGCCAACGGCAGAAACTCGTTTTATATACACTCTTTGCAGCCGCCGCAGCAGAGGCAGCAGCAGCAGAAGACGCAAAAAATAATAATAATGAAATTACCATAATTATATTTTGCAGCCAGCACTAAAATATATACATATATGTACATATATACATACATATACATATATAAAAGAAGAAAAAAAACCAGAGGCTATAAAAAAATACGAAACGCGGCAAAAACTAAAAGCCAAGCAAAATGTGCCACAGTTTTGAGCAAAGTATATTATCGTATAGTTTTATAGCCATATCTATAAAGCCATAGACCATTGCTGTTGCATTTTTCATTAGCAGGTGTTAGAACGTGTCGCCAGATTGAGGCCGGACAACAACGACAGCGACAACGACAACGACAACGACGAGCTGTCAGTGTCAGCCGTGAGTCGAGAGCTCTCAGCTACAAAAATAACAACAACAACAACAACAACAATAGCTACAATAACATTGCCTGCCAGCATTTTGTAAAATGCAAAAAAGCATTCAGCATGCAAAACTTTAAGAACAACAAAAGCAACTACAACAACAACTACTACATTGCATAATACGCCCCAAAAAAACGATAGAAAAAAGCAAGAGAAATAAACGATTGAAAACTACTGAAGTTCTAATACTCTAGTGTGTGTGAGTGAGGTATATATACATATATGTGTGATATATATAAATCTATTTAGGTGAAGAGCTATAGCACAATACTAAACTTTAATACGTAATACTAAAGTTTAGTTGAGCACCTTGACTATAATTTTATATATATAAATCTTGTTAACTATACAGTATGCAGATGCAAAGCTACAAATCAAAATACTCTAATATAACTAGGATATTAACATGTTTAAATGCTGTTTGGAATAGTTATCTTAACTACTCTTTGCTGGGGCTAGCTTTTGATGAGAATTCTATGATAATATATCAAAAATATCTCAGCTTAGTGCTAAGCCTATATAAATTGAAGAGTCAAATTGAATTAGATGCAACTGCAACTCGATTTCTCACATAAAACTCTACAAATATCTATATAATATAGTAGTTAGATAGGGCTTATGACTATATAAATGCTAAAGAAAGCTTATAGTATAGAAGTATATCAAATTTCCTGAGCCTAGCCTAACTATTAGCCCAGTTAAGATAGTCTGAGTAAGAAATTTGAGTTAATGGACATCTAATAATTAATTATCCTATATTGCTACTTGAAATACATTACAGCCAATATCCAAGTCCCTTAGCATTGCCTAATTTACGACAATTGTGGCTTAAGCTTAGCCAAAAAGAAGTAAGTATATAGCTGAAAACTTAGAGACCTCTTAAAGCTTTAATTTAGCCAAGTTGCCCGGCGTTGCCCGCTGAAGGCCATTAAGCCATGTTTGCTGACGCTGGGGTTGGGGCTGCGGCTGGCGCTCGAGTGGCCAATGCAGTTGTTGTTTGTGTAACGCATAAATCTTAAGCCAAAGCACAATAGTTTGTTTGCACGGCTCAAACATTGGCGTGGCCAACAGCAACAGCAACAACAACAACAACAACAATAACGATTACAATTTAGCTATAGCTATAGCTTTATAGCTGAGCTGTAGATGTTCGCTAGCAAATCAATAAAAAACTTCCGTTGCGGCTGCCAAAGTTAACTTTGAGGGCGGTTTTAATTAACACGCGCCGTGCCACGAAAGCGAAAGTCCGCACGGACAGACAGGACTCTGGCCAGAAGGAACTGCATAGCTGACCAGCTACTGGCCCCCAGCAGAGAAACAGTTAGCCCAAAAAAAAAATACAGTGGGAAAAAAAACACCCTTTGTTGCAGTCATAAATTAAATTTTGTGCTTAACCCTACCTTGGGTATTTATTGCAGGGTCAGAGCAGATAAAGCAAATTGATTGTGTCGCCCGTGGGCAGTGTGCATGCGGCCTGTGGTACAGTGGGCGTGGCTGTTTATTTAGTTAGCTAGCTCGCCAAAAAAAATTTGAGTAGAAAACTGCATGCGCTGACAATGCGGACATCGATTGACAGCTGCCAGTTGACTCTGTCGGTTGTTGTTGTTGTTGCTGGCACATTTTATGGAGCCTGGCTCTCGCTCTCGCTCTCTTTCTCTCTAGGACGCTGGGTGCTTTGCCCTCTTGTAAATCAGCGTTTATGGGGTGACTAAGTAAACGGCTTTTGGCCTGCCACAAATTTATTACACAGCCGCCGTGTGGCACGCCCCGCCTCAGAGGCAAGACGACGACGACGACGACGGCGAGTCTCAACTGTGCGCCGTGTCTGTTTCGGTTTCTGTGGCATGGCAGCAACGAAGCCGTGTATTCAAATAACTATCTTGATAAACAACTTGCGGCCAAGCAACACCCACGCAACACACACACAGCAGTCTGAGCAGGGTCTTCAACTTGTTTTACAAGTTTCATTTGAGCTGCCTTGCAATATGCCACAGTTGTGCCCCTTCTGTCAGTCTCTCTCTCTCTGTGTGTATGTGTGCGTGAACTTTTGTGGCACACTAATTCAATTAGGAAGCCCACGCCCACTATCAATAAATTTCTCAAAAACGAGACTCATTCACATCAACTTTTGTTTTTCCTCTACTTGACTTTTTTACTTGACTTTTTTTTTTTTTTGCAACTATTTTATTTGCTTTTGCTTTCCATGTGGAAAACTATTGTAGCGAAAACAAAACAACAAAAACAACAACAACGGCAAAAAGTACAATGAGACAGAGGCTCGGGCACTACGAGTCTGGAACTTGAACTGAAAAAACTGGGTGGGTGTCGCCAAAGCAGCCACAATGGCAGGCAGGCCTCGTTTTATATACATATACTACATATATTTTATATACATATATATCTTTTTTTCCATAACAATTATAATTTTTTATGTTTGTATCTTTCTCTCTTGGTCGTGGGCAGCAGCGCGTGTATTCGCAAGATACTCATTGTTGTTGTTGTTGTTGTTTTTAGCTGAGTCGTCATACAAAAGTTGACATTGACACACGTGCAAAATGCAACAACAGCAACAATAAAGAGAGCCAGAGCTAGCTCTGCTCGCATACATTATGATATTAAACACAGTCGTTAGAGCTTGTCTGCCGGCTTGTAACTATGTATCCATGTATCTATCTATCTATATACTGCATACATATGTATATATATATATGTCACAGGCGTGGGCGTTAGCATATGTCTAGTTAGTTGTTGTTGTTGTTGTTTGCAAGTTGGTTGGCTTGGCTTGGCTCGTTTGTCAGTCAACATTAGCGGCATGTCAACAATTCAATTTGAAATGCATTTAGCTGCTGCTGCTCCAGCGGCTGCGGCTGCGGCTGAAGTTTTGTTTTCTGGCTTTTTCGCCCTGAGGCAGGACTCTATATACCTGGGGATTTGACTTGGTGCGGGTAAGAGTAAGAGTATATGCCGTGTATACCCTTGCATATTAAATGAAAGTCAGTTTTTTCGCAGAGTAGAGCTTTTAAGTTATTAAATAGTTTGACTTGAGTATGAAAGCTTGATAAGCATGTAGGGTAGAGATGGTAGAGTATACAGAGCAGTATATGGTATATAGGGAATGGAATAGGTAAGTGTAAAGTAGATAGAAGAGAGTAAGAAGAGTACAGAGAGTATAGGAAGTATGAGGAGTATAGAGAACACATAGGGTATTTATATAGAATATTTAAAGTCTATAAAGAATATATAAAATATAAGTCCTAGAGAGCATATAGTATGAAGAACATATAGTGTATATATATAGACTACAGCATTATTTTCATAGATATACACAGGCTATATCTGATAATCAAATGTTCTTTCATGCCTCACTCCTGCAAATGTCAAGCTTAGCTCATTCTATATTTATACACATCACGAATAAATCTATATTTATACAAAGTATTTTATATCTAAATATATATATCTATATGTATGTATGCAACTCACCTGCGTTTGCGTGAGGCCCAAACTCGCGGCCAGCTCGGCACGTTCGGGCAGAGCCAGATATTGGGTGCGTTGGAAACGTCGATTCAGTTGCTGGAGCTGCAGTGAACTGTAAATGGTGCGTGGCTTGCGCATTTTCTTGCCCTTGCCATTGACGCGTAGGCCGGAGTCCTCGCATTTGTCTGAGATTGAAAAGTCTGCAAAAACAATGTATGTATATGTATGTATTTATATATATCTATATAT